GTATTAGAGAGGTGTGTGTATTAGAGAGGTGTGTGTATTAGAGAGGTGTGTGTATTAGAGAGGTGTCTGTATTAGAGAGATGTTCGTATTAGAGAGGTGTGTGTATTAGAGAGGTGTGTGTATTAGAGAGGTGTCTGTATTAGAGAAGTGTCTGTATTGGAGAGATGTCTGTATTAGAGAGATGCCCTTATTAGAGAGGTGTCATTAGTAGAGAGATGTCTGTATTAGAGAAAAATGTCCGTATTAAAAAGGTGTCCGTAGTTGAGAGGTGTGCGTATTAGAGAGTGTCCGTACTAAATCATATACATCAAATGCACAAGACTTACATTGAAAGCCTCAGAAGCATCATCGTAACCAGAGCTATCTCCCCAGGGGAATGGTGCAATGCTACGTTTGCCTCTCCACCAGGGATTCCACGAGTTACGACATTTCGGGTTGGAATTATAAGCTCTTTGTTGGTACGTTCGTAGGTATGGAAGTATCTGAAAAAAGACACGAAATTTGAAGTTTGCGAGTTCCCAAGTAATCATATACAGACATGTTTTGCTACTTTTGTTGAAGTAAATGAGTGTAATCCTCGAATAAATTACATTCACGACCCAACGTTTCGACGCTCCAGTCAAGTGTGGTTATCAGGACTGTCGTCATCGCCACGTGGCTTCTTATGTACTCAAGGGATAGAGTCCAACTCTTGTGGTGTCGTGGTTACCACGCTTGCCTTTCCAGCTGGGAGACCCGGGTTTGATCCTTGGTTGGACCTCTACTCAAGGTCTTAAAATAATTGAAGAGAAAGTGCTCCTTTTACATTGACATTTACAGTAAACAGTTAGACTTTCGCGTCTTCTTGGATAAGGACGTCAGTGGCGGAAATTCACTTTTTCCGGGGGGTGGGGGGGGGGCAAAGCCTCCTAGATTTCCGACAAACTTTCAAATTTCATTCGAAAAGGCTGTTTTTAACCCTCTTTTAGGTCAAAATTTCCGAAAATTCGTAATTTTCCGTGAAGGTGGGGGGAGGAGGGCGGTCGCCCCCAGCCCCACCGAGATTTCCACCACTGAAGGACGTTGAAATTGTAGCTACGGATCCCCTATCAATTAGACAATAGCCTATTTGGAAATCCACTCACCAATGAGTGAGAAACTCAATAAAACTCAATTAAAGTTATCGGCCAAGATACACAAGATATTCTTGTGGGCGATGACTCCTCTATTCATGTTTATATGCCACGCTTCTAGACAACATGACAACATTTGTACAAACCTTTTCTTTTGTCAACTCGTTCCCAGCCTTCAAGAGATGAATGCTCTTGTCCACAGCCACGAAGGCAACACGTGATCCTGGGGTAGCTTTCAAGATCAAGTTCGTTTCTTCTCCTGGTTTACGTTCATCATCCTTAAAACTCACTGATACCTGGCAAATTAAAATATGAAATTAAATCTCTCGTATCTTCTCTTTTAGATGGTGCAACGTTAGTAATATGCAGCACACTGCCAGTGGGTAACCCAGAGCTTTCAAAATAAGCCGGCGGGTGCCACGAGGTTAACCGCCAATTACTTAATTTAGTACTTGAAATATAAATTCTGCTCTCCTTCCTCCACTCTACACCCTCAAACCAAGTTATTTTTCATCAACCTGGTCTACTTTATAACCCCCCCCACCCCCTCCACACAGCCGCCTACTTTATAATCCTAACCTGATTCTCCAATTTATCCTCCACATCAAAGTCGACACTATCAGCCACAACCTCTTTGTCTTCTCTCACATAATATACCATCATCCGACACGATGGCACCATCTCCATGGTTACAGGAAATTTGATGTCAAACTTCTCAACAACTGGTCTTTCATTCAGTTTCTTGACTGGGATTGGTTTAGGTCTCCACCATCCCCAATCAGGGAGGATTAACTTATGTAATTTTGTTCGGATGGTATCGTTGGTGCGTTGGAGGGTAGCGTTAGTGACATTAACTGTTACTTTGGTTGGTCGAATGGTAGTGGCGGGTGTTGCGGTTGTGGTAGTGTTCTCTTCTCGAACGTAGTTGTGGAGCTGAGTATGCGTACCGGATTTGACTGTGTTACCTTTACACATGATCTAAAAGGTTTAAAACTGGGGTTATTAAGTTCAATCATTCAGGGTGTTGTGACATGTACCACATGGTTCAATCCTGCAGCTGTAGCAATTGATGTCTCTTCTGTGTTCTCTTCCAGAAGCATGGTTAGATCCTAAAGTGATCTCATGTTGTACAGAACCCACTGCTGAATTAAGCATGGTTATGTTGTTAGATCATTGAAATTAAAAATATTTATTTTTTTATTTCGGTTGCAGTATCTGAATAGTTTACTCACAGTATAGTGAAAGTTGACTCTCGTTCCAGTGTTGCTTCGCACTGTATAACGCACTGTGAGAGAAGCTTCGCTGTCAATCTAGACATATAGACAAGATATATAGTTGTTAATGATGGTTGTCATGGTACTCACCTATGGTGATGACGGTGTAACTGGTAATGGTGATGCGGGTGGTGATAATGATGATAGTGGTGATAATCATGGGGATGGTGGCAAACGATGTGATGATGATAATGGTGGTGATAATGATGATGGGGATGGTGGCTGTGATGGTAAATATAATGATGATGGTGGCAGACAATGTGATGCATCATAATGGTGTTGATGATGTTGAGGATGGGTTATGGTGGTGATGATGGTGGTGGTGATCGTGATAATGATGATAATGGGGATGGTGGCTGTGATGGTAATGATAAAGATGAATGATGATGGTGGTGATGATGACGATGTTGAAAGTGTTGGTAATCCTGATTTATCTTACCTTAGCGGGAGTGTTCTGCGTCTTATGAATTTCAAGGTAGCTAAAACTTGGAGAGTACCAAGGATTTGCTGTATATGACGTGCTTACAGGATACATGTGTGCTTTCACTGGATAGGGATTTTTGTCCAGAAGATTAGCCTACATAGAGGGAGAAAACAAAATTCCATGAGGATCCTATCAGCAGTAGGATCTTACTAGCCGGCATCCTACTTTTTGCAGGTTTTATTTAAGATCCTCACAGCAGGGTCTTAGCTAGGATTTTAGATCTTGGGCGTGTTTCTAATGACCAGGGTGTGCACATGTCAATTACCTTGAATAACCAAATTCACGGTTCTAGTTACGCTCGCCAACAACAGACAATGCCTGTGGTTGTTCTATGCTTTGCAACCAAATACAAGGCGAGCATACGCTTATATTGCG